TCTTGCATGCATCTCTTAGTATTCTTATTAAATGAGTCAATAATCCTATTTGACTAATAATCGCATTTCAATTGCTTTTTCAATAATGAAACACTGATTAAATTGGTCAATTACAACTCTCCTACAATCTAGATAATTTTTTTTTAATTGTTTGATCATTGACGTAAAACCATAATAGAAACAATTGGAGAGGTTTTCGACCAAAAAAAAAAACAATTTTGGAGCCAACTCGATTTGATGCGTTTGCTTTTGCGTTTCAACTCGATTTTTTCTTCCATCTCCATCTTTTCTATAGATCTTTTACTCATATTTGTGCTCATACCAAAAACAAAAAAAAATTCTTGAAACTTTTTATAGGTCTAATTTCATTTACAAATATAATATGAAAGTCAACAAGATTTGATTATGAGGAAACCAACGTAGGTTTGACTTCGATCTTGGTTGCAAGTGACTCTCGACTTTTTTTTGTTTGGTCTATAAATAATGTGATAGGGACGGCTCAAAAAATCTAAAAAAAATTTTGGACCATGTGCAAAATTTTTATTTTTTAAAAAAACTAGTCTATTTTTAATAATTCTAAAAATTTGGATCTTTATTTACGATAAAAAATAACTAAAAAATTGGTAGATCCTGTATGTGATCATTTTGATTGAAGTTAAAAATGGTATAAATTATACTCTTTGTCAAAAGAAGGGAGTATAAATCAGTTGGATATATTTTTCTAAATTTGTCAAGAACGAGTAAGAAAAGTTACGCATTTTGAGACTGAAAAAGCCACAAACTCACCAGTTACTATTTTGATATGATCAGATCTCTTCTTTCTCCCTGAGGTATACCACAAAAGAAATCACGGGTATCAGTGTATGGGCATCCGCACATAACATGATTTTCTTTAAAATTTGTTTTTTTGTAAAAGGTGTTAAATACAAAATTTTCGTCTAAAAGACTACGTAAATCGGTAAGAGTGGAATGTCAAACTTCATAGACTTAAAAATGTATTACTGGAAGCAATGCCGTCTCAAAAACTTTAAAGATCCATGACAAAAACAAAAATATTTTAGATTTTTTAGTATTTCCTCTGTTTTAAAATGAAAATAAAAATAATTTAACTAATAAAAAAATAACTACAAAAAACTATTGATTATATAATAATCAATAAAATTAAAAAATACCTAAAATTATCAAAACAATTTATATTTTAAAACAACTTATATTTTAAAACGAAAAAATCATAATTTTTTTTGGCCTTTTTTCATAT